TTCTAATTAGGTTCCTTTTGGTTTTGATTTTAATTTTAAGAAATCACTTTATTTTAGATTGTATATTAGTATTATTTGTTTGCTTCTAAGTTCTCAGTGCAATAAAGTTTCTGTGAATGTAACGTAAGTTACCATGGAATAGCTCAGTGTTGTTTTGCGTGTTTGAATCCTGATCAACCAGTACGTAAGTGCAAAATGTTTATCATATGTATTGTATGCGGTAAAAGACATGTGCCACTTATGTGTGAGAAGCTAGATACCCGAGGTAAAGAATCAGGAGAAAGTGGTGAGAAATGTGAAAGTTCTGAGATTAACATATTGCTTTCAAAAAATATTTAAGAAAATTTTCTACGTTATTTCTGTGAATTTCTACACACTTTTTCCAACGTTTGAGAATATTTTTAATCCTGGTGGCATAGAAAGAAGTAGCCCGTGTAGTGAACCAAAAGCGTGGAAAATCTTCATTGGATGAAAATCTCTCCCTCTCCTAAGAATTCTTTAAAAAGTCCAAACAAATAGTAGTCCGAAAGTGCCAGGCTATATGGAGAATGTTCAACTGTTTTCCAGCGTATTGCCTATAACTGGGACATTATAAAGTGTCGCATTGTCCTGTTGCAAGAGCTATTTTGCGGACCATGTTTTTTACACTAATAGGCCGCTTTGACATTTTGTGAAAATTCGCAGTAATAATTTGCATTAATTTTGCATCGTTCATGAAGGAAATTGATGTGCACAAGGCCTACTTCATGAGTCCTAAGAACATTTATGAGTATGTCATCAGCAAACAATCGAAATTTTGCTTAGAATGCAGCAGATTCATTTTTCCAACACCCTTCCATACAAGAACGCTTTGTTTCAGAAAAGATTCACCCGACTGAAAAAGGAATCTTCTTCTGCTTCATGTCGACTCAATAATATTTGACAAATGTCTTTCCTTCCATCTTTTTGATTTGTGTTCAAAATTCTAAGTACTCTCTGAGAATTTTCAATATTTTAAATTATCATGAATTACATACTTAGGGTTACATACTGTGCATTTGTATACTTTAGCCCTCGGCAGGGTATCATTGCTGAACTGTTTTTGTAATCTACGTAAAAATTCAGAAAGTTTTACATTTTCTTCTTTTCAAAATTGTAATTATTATGCGTCTGCATTATGAACGCTACACACATTTATGATTCAAGTTACTAAAAAAAAGAACTTACAAGAAACTAAATACAGCCAAACAATTACTTATAATCTAACCAAGGTTCTATTGTTGCCAATGAAAAAAAAATCGTCTGCTGCTGCTTAAAAAGTCTTATTTTTGATCAACCTGAGTAGTTACACGTATCTACAGCGGTTTTATTTATATAATAAGCAAGCTGTACCCGTTCACACGTTGTTGTGATTAATGATCAAATGTATACAATACATCAAAATGGAAGTTAATAATAAAATTACCACTACATATATGTCATTTGAATATAACGAAACATAGTTGATGGTTGAATAAACATGTTTCTTCACTTGTGATATTAAACAATATTGCAAACGATCTCATCATGAAATGAATGATATTTGATGATTGATGGTGAACTTTATCTTAGTAGTGCTTGTAAATATACAACATTTTTTGTTTTCCTGTCTGGTGCAAGAACAAATAAATTTGATGGTTTTCCAACTCGTGATCACGCAACGTACAGCTGTCCATGTGAGAAGCATGGATTTATCAAATTTAATCCACATACTTGCAATGATTGTCCCTGTGCTTCGTTAATGGTCATTGCTAAGGCTAGTCGTACAGGAAACTGTAGACGTTTGAATTCAAATATAGTATCTGTTGGTATCATGGGAATGCGTGGTATTAGTTCATGTTCTCCTTGGTGTTTTCCATTTAAAATGGTTGCCTCAATTATGTTATTCATTAATTTTTTTACTGATAGCCTAGTCCCATTGCATAGTCGCGGTGGATTTATATTTCGTAGAAGGATGATTTCAATCACCAATGATGAACCAATTTTCAAAGATAAAATATGCGGTGGCATTCCTGATAGATCAAATGAATTTAAAAATTCTATTGGATAATTAACTGATTCATCGTGATTGACAACAGTATCTATAGATTTATATGTTGTTTCTTCATCAGGTATTTCATTTTAATTTTGCAGTTTATTAAATTCACATCAATGTTTTTGGCTGCCAATATAGCACGCTCACTAACCCATTGATTATTTTTATAATTCTGCGATAAATTTGGAAAAACTTTTGCAATCAATTCATCAGTGGATTTTACAATGCGACAAAAGTTTTCTGGTAATGCAATACAGTGTGTGGATTGGTCCATTATCATTTTACCATTCCCAATATCTAGCAATTGTTTTGCAAATCGTTCAGAAGATTCATCTTGTTGTAAATGAATACGCATATTGGTCTTTAAAGATATTTTCTCCACATACCGCCACTGATGATTTGAGACATGCATTCAATTCATCTGCTGGTGTTGAACGGGGTATAACTGGTAGAGTTTGTCTAAAATCACCAGCTAGCAAAATGAGCGCACCACCAAAGAGCTGCTCATTTCCTCTCAAATCTTTTAATGTGCGATTGAGTGCTTCCAATGATTTCTTGTGTGCCGTGGTGCATTCATCCCATATTATAACCTGGCATGATCTTAGTACTTTTCCCATCCCAGAATCTTTGCTAATATTACATGTTGGAGTTTCAATTACCTGCACATTTAATAGAAGCATCAGCGAGTGAAATATCCCAATGAGCATTGTTTTCTAAGAGACATAATTTCTGGCAAGCCTCACGAAATGNGTGCATTCATCCCATATTATAAGCTGACATGATCTTAGTACTTTTCCCATCCCAGAATCTTTGCTAATATTACATGTTGGAGTTTCAATTACCTGCACATTTAATGGCAATTTCAATGCTGAATGTGCTGTTCGACCACCGTCCAAAAGAGTTGCTGCAATACCAGATGATGCAATAGCAAGTGCAATATTATTTTGTGATCTTATAGTTGCCAGAATAATTGAAATAAGAAAAGTTTTGCCAGTACCTCCAGGTGCATCTAAGAAATATAAGCCACAACTCTTGTTAGACATTGCATTTATAATTGTGTCATATGCTGTTCGTTAATCTAATACCAATTTCGGCAGATTAATTCGAACAAATGTTTGTAATTCATTAACATCGAAGTGCGTTTCTCGTTGTATATCACGATCGAAAATGTCATTACCAGATCTATTTGGAGCAATCATTCCCAATTCTGTCAGTGATTTGTTGGCTATTGTCAAACATACATTCTCAATTAAAATCAATGCTTCATTGTATATATTTGATGTAAATTAAATGTCGGGATTAGCATTTATTCTACGCATGCGATGTAAAATGTCTTCACTCATATAGTCTTTATATTTTTCCCAAAGGTCCTTTGGATTAGCCGGAAAACATGTAGTTAGTATGATGGAAAATAGTGTACGTATCTGTGGTGGTTGAGCTGTATTAGAAGCATCAGCGAGTGAAATATCCCAATGAGCATTGTTTTCTAAGAGACATAATTTCCGGCAAGCCTCACGAAATGTATCACACACATGGCCATTGACTGTTTTTAATTCTTGGAAAGATGTTGGTCCACGAACATTGATTAATAATAATCTCAGGTAAATGCATTCTGCGTTATTTGGATGTACAGTGTACAGACGACCCAATGCATCTGTGGAATATAAATTTAGATGACCTTGTACTGCTCTACCTTGTTTACGAAGCTGAAATTTTCTTGTTGATGAATTCCACGTAAAATAAGTTGGTACTTCATAGTACAGTAGTGTCCTTGCAAAGGTATCATTTCTACATAATGTGAAAAATTCAGTAAATGTTGTTGGCGGTGGTGACATTGCTCTTGCACGTACATTTTCTGATGTAAAATGCACACTCTGTCCATTTTCAAGTTGTACTGCTAAATGAACAACCGTTGGATATCGCTCATGAATGGAAAATGATAAAATACGCAATACAGCCTCATTGCCACTTATGTAGCGTCCCAGTTGATATTGGGTGACTTCATCGTTAGAAGCAGTTGTATTTTCCAGTGCATACACTGTTGTACTCCTTTGTTCACATATTTGCAAATATATTTTATAGCCTTCGCTGAATTGCAGTACTCAACATTTATGTGCGCGTTATACGTTTTTAGTAGTAATAGAGAATATGGTACTACCCAACGATTATCAACATCAATAGTATTGCTGAGTACTTTTAGTTTAATGGATTTTCCACCATCTTCGGTAGATCGTCGTCGATAGAGTGGATCTCCATCATTGCCTGTAATAGTTTCAGCAAGTAAGTCTCTAGGATACCGCTTTGAGCACTTTCCATCTGACATGCATGGTGAATTATTATTTGGTGAGAAACATGGACCATGAATCATATTTGAGACAATATTGTGCAAATCTTTATCAATTTCAATGTCTGGTATTTCTGCAGAGAAGATTTCATCAATTCTGTTAGGTGTTATCCTTTCCATCATCCGTATTAAAATATGCGCATGTGGTAAACCTCTTTTTTGCCATTCAATGGAATACATCCAACAGCGCGTCTCTCCAAATACATGGTGTTTGACAATAAAATCCATTAAAGATTTTAACTTTTGTTTAAATGCACGTACAGAAATATCATGACGATCTGATGGCGATTGTCCAGTTAATGAAAGCTCCTTTATTTCATCCCATGCTGGGTTGTATGTAAATGTGATGAAAAAATCTGGACGACCATATGCACGAACATACGTCATTGCATCTTGTGCATATTCATGCATGCGTCTTTGGCTGCCTGTATATGTGGATGGTAAAATGACCATTTTTCCAAATTCACTGAGATTACCATCATTTACAATTGCATCACGTAAATAGATGGACTCTTCAGAACGCAATTTGACTTGATTT